AGATTTTTGTCTCTAACTTTTGGTAGAAAGAGAGAAAAAAGTAAAACGATAAATGATGCCACCATAAGGCGGGAAAACTAGCTGACCAATGGCGGAGCTCTGTTTGGGTTGCTAGGTGACGTTCGGAATTCCCCTTGGGTTGCTAGGCAACGGCGCAACGCCAGTGGCTTGCGACTTTTGAGACGTTTTGAAACGGTTGACTTTCCACACTAAAAAACATCGTCAAAAGAAAACAACTGGGAGTTTTGTTTTGAAAAGCTTTGGCTGTTTTTAGAAGGAGACGCTCAACCGTAAGTACAACAATGTGCAAAATGTGTTTTCCGGAACAGGTTGTGTTTAATACCTAACCATATCTAACCATATCTAACCCTTTCTAACCCTATCTAACCCTTTCTAACCATATCTAACCCTATCTAACCCTTTCTAACCATATCTAACCCTTTCTAACCATATCTAACCCTTTCTAACCATATCTAACCATATCTAACCCTATCTAACCCTTTCTAACCATATCTAACCCTATCTAACCCTATCTAACCATATCTAACCCTATCTAACCATATCTAACCCTTTCTAACCATATCTAACCCTTTCTAACCATATCTAACCATATCTAACCCTATCTAACCATATCTAACCCTATCTAACCATATCTAACCCTATCTAACCATATCTAACCCTATCTAACCATATCTAACCATATCTAACCATATCTAACCCTATCTAACCATATCTAACCCTTTCTAACCATATCTAACCCTTTCTAACCATATCTAACCATATCTAACCCTATCTAACCATATCTAACCCTATCTAACCATATCTAACCATATCTAACCATATCTAACCCTATCTAACCATATCTAACCCTGTAAATAAACACATCAGCTGCTCCTTAGCAAGTGATCTGATGAGTTTGAAGCAGAGGTTTTGTATGTTTATGCTCAGAATTATTTATACTTCTGTTAGACTTAGATTTAAAATAATTTTCTTTCAAGAAAGAATGCAAATTAAGATGCGACAAAAATCCAACTGGTTAATAATTTTACGTAAGTTTTTGATAGTAAAAATAAAATGCAGCTGGTATAACTAAAAATCCTCCATAAAAAAGGTCAAATTGAAATTTTATGTTGATTAAAGTCATTTAAAAATCACCTGAATGAGAATTTCCAATGCTTGGGGCTGATTGCTCTCTTCTGGCTTGACTGAAGGGTTTATATTTTTACCCTCATCTTTGTTCCTCATAACAGAGACGATGTAACTCAGCTATTTTGGGCTTAGGGAAATAGCTAATTTTCATTTATTCTGACCGCCAGAGGACAAAGCGTGCAGCCTGCTCATGTTTTCTGTAGTTTAGTTGACCCGCTCTCCGAACATTAGTCTGGTTGGATGCTCCACAACTCACGAGGCACAAGAGGGGCAGCAAAAGAGGAGTGAATGACATCATTCGCCTCTGCTGTGAGTGCATTTGGACGGCTGGAGAAGAGAACGATGATGTCAGTCTGGCCTTCAGGATAAACACGGTAGATGTGTGCGCCCCTGGTAAGGCAGACTGTTGGAGCAAAACACAAGTTCCTCTGTGAAGATGAGCGTTTTCATTTGGAAGCAGGAATGTAGAGGCAGGGCCGGCCCAAGCCTTTTTGGGGCCTTAGTGGATTATAATTTGGAGCCTCCCCCTTGACAACATGTCAACACAAGATGCTTCGTCATTACTAGGCAACTCGATGTGGGAAACAAATGCTTCAATGTACTCGAGAAACTTTTTGAAAGAAATGTACTTTTTAGAGTATTTTTACTTTTACTTGAGTAATATTTCTGAATTTTCTACCCACTGAATGAAAAACAAACTTATTTTAACCAAAATTCACCAGACACACACCTGCAGTTTTATCAATTCTTTTACTGACAGAAACAAATTTGGAATAATTTTCTTTTACTCCATTTTATTATTTATATAAATTACTGTCATTTTGATTCTTAAAATACCAACATTTTCTCTCAACTATATAGTTTGGTCTGTGGTGATTTAAATATTAAATGATTGATCATTTGATCAATGACTAGACTTTTTACTTGAGTGATTTCTTGGATGGCTACTTTTTACTTTTACTTGAGTAAAAATATGTTGAAGTAATGCTACTTCTGTTATTTTCTTTGGCATCTTGTTTTTGGGCACCAATGAAACAAAAATAAAGGTACAAAACTGTGACAGGCATATAAGTTTATTACAGTGCTGCAGATGCTAATTATTGGCAATGAATGGGAATTTCTATAGACGTTAGCATCAAGCTAGTGGTTTTTGCACTAACCTCCTGTTTTCCTTTGTTTTGTGGTTGTGCTGATGTGAATGTTTGTTTAGCTTTAATGTCAAGCAAAAATATTTCAATTTTTAGATTAAATTGTTATTTCTTTCTCAAAATGTTATCAACTGAAACTGAAAATCATTTGTATTGTTAACTGACTGCTCTCAGTTACTGACAACTGAGAGTCACTCAGTGATTGTGTCTTATCCGTGTTTGTGGTTTACCACAAACTTCCTTGTGAGACACAAAGAAAGTTTCAAAGTGTGAAATCACACTGAGATAAATGCAGCAAGACAAAGTTTTCAAATGCTTCAATGTCATAACACGTCAACCAGAGGCTCTCCAGCTGCTGCATTTTCATTTTTAAAAGTTTAAAGTGACCCTTGTATCCTCGGGGAATCTGGTGAAGATAATGTGGAGCACGCCGCCACACCTGTTTTTCAGGTCAGTCGAACTAACGCACACCTCTCCTGACACTGTCGTTTTACTCATCACAAGGAAAGAAAACAGATCCACTTTACTTTTTCACTTTGCTCTGAGTGGAATTAAAGTTTTCAGGATGAATAAATCCAAATGGATTGAATGTTTGTCAGTCTATCTCTGTGCAGCTTCTTTCTTTGTGCCCAAAACCATTTTAACCAGCTTCACTTCATCAGTTATTCATGGGAACACTGAGGCCTGACGTGGACCTATGAAGCGCTGCTCTCCCCTTCCTCCCCATCAGCTGCAAAAGTGCTTACACAGCTCCGAAAACGCCATTGATTTTGTCATTAACAGTAAACGACAGCTGAGGCGACTTACGATGACAAGCTGCGGCTGCGATCGCATTCAGAGCATTCTTACGTTTACCGTTAAATAAAGACGAGGAGAAACTTTAGAGGAATAAGAGGAACTTTTTGAAAAAGTGGAGAAATGTTTAATTAATATTCTGTTACAACTTTAGGAGAAGCCCAAGCATGTTAGCTCTGTCATTGTGTTCGGTCTCATCCCCTTTGTTTGGCTCTTGTTTGCAGGATCCTGAACAAATGTCGCCTGTCCTTACAAATAGCTGAACACACTTCTGTTGTTGTCACACCTGATAGTTCTGTAGATTCGGTTTGATTGGGAACCAAAGTTGCAACATTTGATACATTTTTAGCTGTTGCAGTCTAAAGAACTGAACTATTTGAGAAACCTGTTCCCCTCCTCACCTGTAGAGGCGCTGCATCAAGAACCGTTGAAGGAAACGACACAAAAATCTCTGAAGAAGACATGAGCGCACCTTTTTGTTTCAAAAAATGCAAGCAAAAATGGAGTAGTGTCAGATTTTAGCAGTTCCAGGATTTCTCCTTTGTTTTTGGTAAAAAAAAAAACTATGAACCATTTCATAGTTTGTTTTGGTTGTTTTTACCCAGAATGCCCTGCACTGTAGTCCATTTCCTGCTTTTGAAACGGTCTCCGGTCCACTTGCATCAACATATACATTCAAACTGAATCAGAGTTCACTTCAAACAAACCAAAACCAAAGTTTTTAGGTGGACTTTTGAGATCAACAAACTAGTTTGACTAAAGTGAACTAAACTGGACTGGTATGAGTGCAACCATACAATCCCACCCTATTCTGAAACAACATATCAGAGACATTAAGAACTAAAGAAACATTCGTCTGTATTGTTCATTAGAAAAATAACATAATAAACTCAAAGCTGTGTGCTAGGATGCATTCACACTGGTCATGTTTAAACCAAGAAAATGAACTCTGATCCTCCTACAAAGTTAAATCTCAGTTCAGTTGAAGTGAACTGTAGTGTGCTTTGATTACAAATGTGAATCCAACCAGACTGAAGTCCACTCCAAAAGCAGGAAGTGGACTTTTAACGCAGGGCATTCTGGGTAATCATAACCAAACCAAGCATGCTTATCTAGCGCAAGCGGGAAAATGGCTCATAGTCTTTTATCAGACCAAAGAGAAAACCAAGCACCACTAAAATCTGATGACACTCCACTTTTGTTTCTATTTTATCAAACTGAAAGTTGCATCCATGTCGTCTTCAGAAGTTTGTGTCTCGTTTCCTCCAGATCGAGTCTAAGAGTATCGGGTATGAAATTTAAAAAAAATTTCATGTGGGTTTTTGACTTGCATACAAGACATTAAATTGACAAAAACAAAAATCTGATATAATTTGTTTTCGCAAGTTGACTCCCCAGTTTTTGCCGCCCCGGATGGAGAGCCATTCAGGGTGGCAGAAAGGCAAAATGTTACCAATCTGGACGCAGTCTGGTGTAAACACTTTGAAGATAAACAGAGGAGAGCTTAGTAGAAATACATTTCTAAACTGATGTGTCATTCTGTCCTCCTGACTCGCCCCTCCTCAAACACATCATTTCTCCTTCCCAGCGGCTCGGACAACACTCCTGCTGCAGATGTTTTCTGAAATAAAGGGGAAAACCTCATCCAAAACGTCTTCATCCCAAGCTCCGCCTGCCTGTCTCTGTTTATCGCCTCTCCCGGCTGCAGCTGACTCACTCTGACACAATGTTGACATTTTTCTGGCTTTAATTCCTCCTGCAGCATGACTCTCAGCTCCAAATCCCCTAAAGTGCAAAACTGGAGCTGCTGCTGCTGCTGCTGCTAAACTCTGGTGCAGCTCAGCATTACTGACCCGGTCAGCTGGAGGGGAACACGGCAAGCAGGATGAGGAGTTAGTTTCATTTTACCGTTGCAGAACTGCAGCAGGGATGAGGTGTCATACAGGCTGCTGTAGCTGGAAAAGCCGTCCTCCATTCTCAGTTTAGTTTGCTGCTGCCTCCATTCACTCCGCTCGGATCAGGCTCCCCGGCAACCCATTCACTCCCATTCCGTCATGTTAACTTGTTTTTCCTCCCAGTGAAACTCCGGAGTTGCAGCCAGAGGGATGGATGGATGTCTGCAGCTTCCTCCGGTCCTTCCGACACAAAACATGAAACAGCTTAAAAAGAGGGAGCTCTGCTGGTGTGTGTGTGAGTGTGTGTGTGTCAGGAGCTCTGTGGGTGTTTAGATAATGCTCGGGACAGCCCCCACTGTCACACGGAGAGGACGAGTCAGGACAAAGGGGCGTGGCCTGTAAGGTAAGCCCCGCCCCCTCGGATGAAAGCAGGAAAAGGATGAAACAGTTTTAAAAACCCTGAAAGTGTTGCTTAGGAGAACCATTTCCGCCTTGAAAGAAAAATAAAAGCCCAAAAGGAAGTTATAATTAGACTTTTAAAGTAAAAAAAAGACATGAAAAGCTATAATTTTAACTTTCAAAGTTATAATTATGACATAATTTTGAGATGCATTCACAATTATTATTTTCTACATCATAATTTCTACTTTCAGCCATAATTAAGAGATTAAAAAAACAGAATCTAAACACAAATTTTCATAATTATGTGTTGGAAGTAATAAATAATAATGCCATATTTTTATGTCATTATAATAATGACAATTTTGAGAGAAAATTTGACTCTTATCATCATAACTAAGAGATAAAAAGCCCTAATGTGAATGTTGAAAGTCATAATTATGAAATATAAACACAGTTTTGAGAGAGTTTAATTTTTGACTTTCTAAGTCATAACTATGAGATTAAAAAATTATAATCGAAACATTTATAGATAAAAAGTCAACATTTTGACTCAACCACAGAAAACTAAAAGGAAAGAACTAGAAAGGAAAACTGAAAATTAAAACTGATGAGAAAAATTTTAATATTAGAGCAACTTTCAATGCAAACACGTCTAATTGTTTTCACCAGTGACGTGCGAAACCAGACGAGTCCCTGCTTGAACTTGATGCACTCTCCAGAACCAGAACCAAACACGGAGAAGCTGCATTCAGCTTCTATGCACCACAAATCTGGAATAAAACTACAAATCAGTCGAAACACCAAATTCCTTTAAATCTAGACCAAAACCCACCAGACCAACTTTTGAATCATCAATGATTTTGCAGTGTTCAGCTTTACACAAATCCGGCACATCAAAAACTACATCTGTGATCTTTATTGAAAGGTTATAATAAAAACTTTAAAATAAACCAAGCGTGCAGAAAAAGCTGCAGCAGAATCTGCACATTTATAAAAAACAGATATTTTGCAATTTTGCACTGAAAATGTGTCTTACTGGTTTCACTGATGTTTCTGTTGCTGAAATGTGCTTTACTAATAAACTTGATCGATTGATTGATTGATTAACCTCCAGTAATGGCTGAAATCTAAAAGCTGAGGAGGAATCAAAGCCTTTTCTCTTCCTTTACGCCATGAAGTCACATGGGAAGAAACAGACCGACACCACCAATCTCCTGGAGCGACAGCAGCCAAGTGTTTCTGCTGTGGTTCAACACGATTTACTCGAAGCTGAGAATCAGATGACTTATTTTACACACTATTAAAACTACGTCACATAAATGTTTACACTACAGGGCAGTTTCTCCTGTCTGAATCTGCAAGGACAGGGTGAGATGTGGCTTAAAGAAAGAAAGAAAAACCAAACGTTGATTTTTTTTTTTTTATCCATCTAAAAGCTTGAGGATGCTTCCCCTCTCCTTCAGAGCTTTCCAGGCCTGATCCTTCTCCTTCTGCGTTATCTGCCCCGCTGCAGACCGGCCCGAAAACAAGGACAAGAGGGGGCAACTGGAGGAACAAATGAGGAGGAGGAAAACCCAAATTAAAAAGTGAGGTGGGAGTTTCAGGAGGGAAACCCTGCAGAAAAAAAGGGGGTAATTTGTGCTTTAAACCGGGGGTTAGAGTTTTTGTATGTGCTCAAGAGGGGGAAACGCTTTGCATTATTTATAGGCTTGAAGGGGAAAAGAATAAGAAGCCTGAGGAAAATAGAATCTGTGGCCTACATTCATGCTGAAACACTTCCCCCCTTTTCTCCTCAGATCACAAGACGGAGCCACACAGAGGCAGAGACGCTCTAAAAACAGCAGCGCGTTGATTCCTCCTGGGCAGGTAGCTGGTCGGTTTGACCCTTAGAGAGATGAACGGGTCACTGCCAGATCCTCATCTGAGTCACTGACCGCCTCCGTGTCCCGCAGGAGAACTCGCTCGTTACACAACAGCATCAAGCATCAGGCGACGCGCTAAGCTCGGTCGCAGCCGGGATTACGCCAGGAAACAATTTGGCCTTTGTAGAGCAAACGGTTCGTCTGATCATAAGAATCTTAATATATGTTGAATTTTCAGAGTCTGAGCGCATTACGCTGCAAAAACATCAATGATTTTTAGTTTGCAAATATCTATAAATTAGATACAACCAACTTAAATGTAACTTCAGCTTCAGATAAAGGATTTATTTATTCAACAGTCATAGAAAGAACAAAGACACGTCATACACAACAAATAGGAGATTATTATATAACGTGGGACTGCTGTTTTGTTCAGTTTGTCTATGTCGATGTGTCTCTTTCCCTATCAAACAAACTTATATTAATGAATCATTTAGAGTCAATAATTCCTTAATATTGATCAGGAAGTACCAGTTCAACCTGCAGATTATTTCACTTATGTGTTGTTAAAAGGAACCTATTATGCAAAATATTTTTTTCACTGCAAAAACACAAAATATTTATGCTCTAGCTTCTGGTGCAAATATCTTATTACACTTGAAATAAAACAAAACTAACCAATAAGTAGCTTTTCAGAAAGATATGAACTTGTTTAAAGTATTTTTTCCTTAATATTGATAAACAAGTGAAATAATTTTATGTTTTCCATAAAATGGAAAATATGTTGTTATAAGTTAAATAAATGTATTTTTCATCAAGATTCAAGAATTATTTACTTACAACATGATCATATTTGTTGCTGAAAAGTTACTTCTGTCTTATTTCAAGCATAACTAAAACAAAAATACTTGGTGAGATTTTGTGTTTTTGCAGTGCTGCTTGTTCACAGACAGTTTTTATCTATAATTTATGCAAAAATCCACAAAGCTTTATTTTATCTATGAGCTCTGAGATGTGCTAAAGCATCAAAATCTGAGGTTTTCTGCAGATAAAGTAGGAATTTTGAGCTCTGTGCATCCTTTGTCCTTCATCGTGGATTTCTTGAGCCTTGTGCTGTTCTGTCTGAAGGGGGTTCAGATTTTTGCAAATCTCATTGTGGAGCTGATTTGGTATCCAGATTAGGGACAGGTCTGGCTTTTGTTTATGTCTCCCCACTGCTCACATGAGAGGAGCACAATCCCTTAAACCAGACCCCCACATGGGGCCCAGAGCCCCGCCTGCGCCTGAATCTGCGCCTCAGCAGGGGGCAGACGGAGAACCGGGCCCTCTGCACCACGTTTCCCTCTGGTCATTAAAAGCTCATCATGAGGTTCCCTGCATGTTGTTTTCTATCAATTTTAAGCATTCCAGACAAAATATAAGAAAGTAATAATAATAAGAAAACATTTTGAAAAGAATATCTTACAAATGTGGCATCTCTTTGTATTAAACCCCTCTAACTCTGATACTCCTAAATAAAATCATGCCAGAAAAGGTTTGAGGTTGGACTTACAGGACGACACACGAATGCGACTGGCATCAATAACTGAGTTTCTCTTAACCGTAAAATTGCACAAATTGAAATTACAAATCTTGGTAAAACTATTGTAGCTTTAGGATGAGGTGGTTTTTCAGCCGTGTTGAAATAAATTTATTTTGCAAAACTGCAACAGAAACACTCCAGCCTGACCTTGTTTTGTGTTGCTAAAACTCGCTGTTGGTTTATAGCTGCAGCTCCTGAAGGTCGCATTCAGCCATACCAGACATTTCTCTTTTTAAAAAGAGAGAAGAAACTGCTGACATTGGTTTCGTCAGCAGATGATCAGTCGGGCTGTTGGTGGGTTGGGATTATGAACAATCAAATCCAGAGCAGAGGGGGGGAAAGGGTCAATCCTCGGTGTGATCCAGCCACCATCTGTGTTCCTGTCCTGCTTATTTATCTCCTTTGTTCTTTTACACCTGGGCTCCAAATCAGTCCTTTAAACATTTTACATAAACAAGTTGGATAGACACTTTTTGATAAACATTTTAACGAGTTAAATGTTGCCATTTATACAGCTGCTTGTGACAGAGCACAAACAAGTGTGATCACAAACAGAATCTGCCAAAAGTAGTAAAATAAAAGTAAATAAAGCCTCATAGAGCAGGAAGGAGTGAAATAGGACTTTAACCTGACATGGATATTTTGAAGTAAGACGTTATTTAAATGGAGTAGTACTCCTAAAAGAGGAATTGCTGTTGCTGATCCTTCTGAGACAGGAAATAAGATTATTGCCAAAAACTTCAGTCAAATTTAATTTATTTTTTGTTTCTGAAAGGTTAAACTGAGAAATTACAAAAAGACATTTAAAGGTGGTCCGTCATTCTTCCTAGAATAGGTTCGGATAGGTCTACAGCTACATAAATAATACATTTTTACTCTGCTCAGTTCTTTACATTTAGGGTCTCTGTCACTTTAAATACAAATAAGCTGCTGCTGGCCACGCCCCCAACTCAACATTTACACTCGCATGTGAAAATGGCTGCAAAAAGATGCGAATTTATACAAACACAAGTCTTTGAAAAGCAGAAGTGGAGCTTCCTGCACAACCAAGAAGAATGCAGCAAATGGCTTCTGGATGGCAAGTCAACAAAACATTTTTTCTTTTCCAGCAGAACAAACCAGTAGAACCAGCAGAAAAAACATGCTGGAGCTCTGCTGCTGTTGCTAGGTAACAAGGCAGTCACCGTTGATAATTGATAATTTTATGTCAACAAATATTTGTTGACATAAAACAGCTGGGTGGGTTTCTTTTTCAAGCCCTTCGGCTGTTATTAGCACCAGGAAAGTCTTAAAAATGGAAGCATAAAAAACTACAAAATATGAATTTTGCATAAAAGTTTACAGTAAAAAAAAAAGAACAACAAAAAAACAAACACTGAAGAACTTCAGTGTTT